TTTTAAACTTTTAATGTAAGCTGCATAGGAGGTGGAAATGAATATGTGTTGAGAATATAATAAGCTTGTGCTAAGATAGGGACAGGTTTAACATGAAGAATTCACAATATTTTCTTATGAAAAGGCGTGATGCAAACACTATCAAAACTTCATGAGAAGGCACCTTCTCATTTCATGTTGCAATAGATTTATGGTCCTACATATCTATTACTGTTGTTGTTGTTGTGGTGGTGGTGGTGTTGCTGCTATTGTTGCTGTTGTTTTATTTCTGTAAAGGACTTATTACTTACATACAGATTCTGTCAACATTAATTTTACCACATATAATCTCATAGTTTCACACCATAAACAAGTTTCTAATTCCCCATTTACAAACAATATTTTGTACATAATCTGTAGGTGTGTTTATGACGTATTTCTGTGGTGGATTTCACATAACTAGAGCCAACTGTTCATTCATTAGTATCATCAACATCAAATCAAGAGTTAAAAAATCTGCACAGCCACCATATCACTACATAAGAGTCCTCAAATGCTTTTCAAGTAACTTAAATTAGAACATCTAAATTGTGACACACACTTTACTGGAGTAATTTCTTCACCATGACCAAACATTTGCCTGTCATTCATCATCATCATCAGTAATCTGTCAAGACGACAGGTCCACAGTCTCTTCCAAAACAATTCCTCCACTTAATGCGATCTAGAGCTTTCTCCTTCAAATGACAGAATCCTCTTCTGTCCCCAAGGTCATCCAGCATCTTCTTATGTCTTCTTGTCACTTCTATCCGCCCCTCTATCTTTCCTTCGATAACTTCTTTTAGAAGGCAGTTTCTGCGTAAAACATGACCAATCCAATTAGCCTTCCATTTTCTTATTTCATGTAGGATATTCCTCTGCTCACTGACTCTAATTAACACTTCTTCATTTCTCACATAATCGGTCCAACTGATCTTCTCCATCTTTCTCCAACACCACATTTCAAAACTTTCCAGATGTTTCTGATCTACTGCCCTAAGTGTCCATGTTTCAGCCCCATACAGAGCTATGCTCCAAATGTAGCATTTCACTAGTTTCTTCCTCAAATTTAAGTCCAATTTGCTGGTAAAAAGATTCTTCTTCTTGCTAAATGCAGCTTTTGCCATGGCAATCCTGGATTTAATTTCACTAGTACACCTTCCATCATCTGTTAACAAGCTACCCAAATATTTAAAACATTATGGAATGAAAACAAAATGTGCTTATCACAGACTATAACTTACTTCTGTGTCAGATGTGCAGTGATCAGTCCCAAGAGCAGTTGTTGCAGTGGACACATGAAACACCATGCAGCAGACACAGTAAGAGACACAGTGAAACTAAAATCCTATTGTAGCAGTGACTGCATCTGATATTGCAACCACTGCCTGCAGTAGTCACATAATTTCATTGATTAGCTGAACCACATCTTATTAGAGAATTTTCTCAACTTCAGGAAGAAGTGCTCACCGGACACAAGCAGAACAATTACGATATGTGACAAAAAACTTCAGTTAACTTCAAAATATTATATAGTTACAGTAGGGGATATGTTTTGCAACTGCAGTTAGTACAGCTATGGTGGTAGGGCATCATGATTTGCCACAAGCTGAACTAGATTCGATTTTTGACAGGGGCAGAGTTTTTGCTCTTCACCACCACTGATACTGGAGTCCTTCCAGGTTCCTATCCAATGGGCGCCATGGGATACTTCTCCAGAGGTAAAGTAGCTGTGGAGTGAAGCTGACCTATCTGCATCTAGTACTGAGGTTAAGAATGTGTGGCACTATAATGCTGCTTGTCCATACATCTTCATATTGTGATGGTTAATTAAGAAAAGGGACACCTCTATCTTTGCTTAGCAAAACTAAATGGTTTCATGTTAGAACACCCTCCATATTTTAGGCAATGGGAAAGATTCATTACATAACATATCTGAACTCCTTCTTTAGTCCAGTAGTTTCTTTCATTATGTATTGTTGCAATAATAAACAGCCTGCTGTGGGTATTGAAGTTTACATAAATATGAGAAAATCTTTAACTTCTAGGCTCAGTTAATTATTTTCATGATAACTACTTCAAAGAAGAATAAATACTGCCTTATGAACACTATATTTTTAAACCTTATTATTTTATTACAATTGTAATCTATAATTATAACATATTTAAATTGCTAAAATCAAGAAGTTCTGGTAACAAAACTTGGTATAAAAACAATCATTTATGCATGTTTGACTGCCAAGTACACATTCTGGGTGAACTGGCCATGTGTGGACCTCCAAACTAACAGTAACCACAACTAGCAAGGCTAATAACAGGAACATATGCCCTGCACNTCGGCGCATCACGCCTGGCGGGGGGGAGGGGCGTCATCCATAGCTCAACATGTCACAATATATATATATATGAGAGAAAACTAAAAGAAACAAGTGTGTTACAACTGCAGTGATATTTACAAAGAACAGCCCATACCATCAGACATTAAAACATTAGAAGAAATGCAACCCAAGGAAATTCACACAGACTACACACCACAGTGGATTAACATACAAAACAGAGACAGTAACACCATGACATAATGTAACATACCACAAAACACCATCGACATCAGCATAATTACAACCCACAAATATCTATGGCAACATTCTAGATATATGAAGGTAGTGGTTCTAGGAAATGAATTATACGTGTAGACAATAATTTAAAAAAATCTGTGACCCAGCTTTTATAGTAAATGTCACGTAACTTCGAACAAGGCCAAGAGTAACCTTGAATGCGCAGAAGAAAAATTTCAGACAAGAGGGTGGAGGGTGTGAGAAGTGACAGGCGACCAGTGAAAGTACGAGTGTTAAGAAACTCCTCCTACCACAAGCTATGAGTGGGATTCGACTAGGAATGTGGGGCCTTGTTCGAAGTTATGTGACACTGTCTATAATCAACTTTAATTGAAAACATAAAAACATTTATTTTAATTCAATTTAGCATTTTAACCATCAACTTACTCATAGATACAGTGACACATTCAATTCATCTTTATCTCAAACAGTCACAATTATTACAACATTGTGATGGTCCCACATAGTAATTCAGACTCCAGCCATAAACAATGGCAAACATACAGTGCAGCAGTCATGTGGATAGCTAATGTAAGAGTAGTCTTATCATGGCCAGTTAGGTCATTAATGAAATGCACATAATGATTACTTGCATACCCAGTTCTGATCATGGAACTTCTATATTTATTAAATGTGCTCATGATGCTCTGATATATTTCAGCCTGATATTACAAATGTTGGTTAGAACTAGCACTTTTACAAATTTTATAAATTCTTGCTATGTTGAGGCTACACTGTATGTCCAAAAGAGAACATATTCCAAAGTGTCACTTCCTGAAGCTTTAAAATAATTAAAATATATTATACATTTTTTATTAAATGAAAAACATAATTTCTCCACTGTAAGGGAAGTGCAAAAAATGCTATGTTAAAGGAAAATACAAGGGTTGGAACTTTAATAGTGGCAACACTGCTGTAGAGACGCCATGCAACAGAACCAAATAATGTCGCTTGTACCACGTTAGTTACATACCTACCTTACCTCAGAGCAAATGGACTCTCCCTTCCCACATCACGCACATGCGCAGTGATGAGAAGAACAGAGTCTCGTGTTAGCTGGTGGTCTAACGTAGCGCTGTCACGATGTTTTTGAAACAGGAACAACGGAGTTGGATAAAGATTGAATGTGCCAGAGGCCGTACAGCACGACAGTGTCATCAAGGTCTTCAAGAGGCTTGCAGGGAATCTGCATTGACTTGCAGAACAGTGGCAAGGTGGGTAAAAGCCTTCAACGAGGGACACCAAAATGTGGCAGACATGCGTCGGCCAGGTCGTCCTAGTATCAGTGAAGAAGTGTACACTCTTTCCCCACTATTGGAGAGTGATTGACGCCATAC